GAAAGTTTCAGAAATCTTGCTGGCATTTCTAGAAAGGAAAACTAACTTTGCCTTGTCATTTCAACTGAAAGGCTTTGCATTTTTCCAGCTCAGAGGCAATAAGAGAAGCCTCTCCAGCCATTTTTACAACTACTCTGGCCATTTTATTGGGTACAGGATACAGAATAAGAAGAGTAGTTTGTTCAATCCATTGTTAATATATAGAAATACTTTGTAAAGAATATCATTGTCCAGAAATAATCTCTACTTTTTTGAAAAAAAATTGTTTTGAGATATAATAGGTCATCTATGCTCTCACCTTCCTAACCTTGGTTTTTCAGCCGGGGGGGGCGGGATATCCTTTGATTATATCATTAAATACCTTACTCTTGCTAGTTTGTGTCATGGAGCATTTATAATCTGTTGTGCATGCCACAATAGGCTTAATATGAATTTTTTAAAAAAAATTAAAATAGGCCAATGCCATTCAATAGTAAAATAAACAAATACTCTTGAAATCCTGGCCCTCTCTATGTTCAAAATACTGTGTAGCCTTACCAATTTGCATAATTATTCAATCCTTTACAGGTTTTGTGCCTCCTAAAAATTGTTTACATGAAGACCATTGGCCTGTTCCTGAGCACAGAACTGTTATTGTTCGTTTTAAATAACGACGCACCAAACTTTTCAGGGTAAATTAAGCTGGCCAAATGGAAGAATTGAGCATTTGTAGTATCTGACTGAAAAATCTGAGGGACCACAAGATGTCAGAAAAGATACAAAAAACACTTTGCTGCTGATTTGTGGTTGCCTAAATATGTTTTTTCCTGAAATCAGTATACCTTAGCATGCTTAAATCTGTTGGAAGAAATATCCTTCTGGGTTCAGTTCCAAGTGGGGGAAAAGACACTGGAAACATGGAAGCTGCTTGGAAAGATGATTTTAATGGTGGACAGGATCACATGCCTTGGAGCTCTTGGGCAAAGAAAAGTGAAGAGATGCTGAGAGTCCCTGGGTTTTATGCCCTCTTTGGGTTTTGACTTCCTGGGGCACAGGAAGAGTATCCTGATTGGTTGCTGTCAGAAGTCGTAGCTAGCTTGGTAGGTTGTCTGTGTGCCAAGTTTGGTTGAAACTTGGTGGGTCGTGCAATGAAGGGCAATTAAATGGCTCTGCCTGAAGGAGGTAGATCTTTGTTATGTAGAATAGGCTGCTCCAGTCCTTAATGGGTCATTAACAAAGGTGGGAGTGGGATGAGTTTCTGCCTCCTAGAAGTTCTACTTCTCTTTTAGGGGAAATATTCTACCTTTTTAGTATATCCTAAAATATTTCATTTTTCTAGGAGAGGGGTAGGTTTTAACTTCCAACAAATCCATGCAGGAACAGTTGGAAGTGGAACCCACTTTACTGGAGAAAAGAACCATTAACATTTTCTTTTATTTATTGAACCAAGCAGGTAATGACATAATTTTACAGTACATGATATTAGAGTGTGCTTTTTTGGGGGCTTATCTTATTATATATCAAGTTGTTCTGTTAGGTAAACCACAATGTATGGCTTAGTAAGGAGTTCAAACCCAGCTAACTTATTTAATAAGGTATGACTTAGTATGTTATATGAACCTATGGTAAAATGAGGAGCCAAATTGTTGGAGCAAATATGCTGACTCTGTAAACAGCTTTGAGAAGACTGTAAAGCACTGTAAAGTGGTATATAAGTCTAAGTGCTATTGCTCTACAGTACGTGATGTAGAGATTGGAGCATCAGACTAGGAATAGGTAACAGGAGATTTTTCAAGACTTCCCCCCCTCCTCAGCTATGAAGCTCATTTAGTGATTTTGGGCCAATCCTCATCTCTCCACTTACCTCAAAAAGTTGTTACGAAAATAAAATGGGATTTGGAAAAAGAGAGGACAATTCACTCCACTTAATCTTTCCCTGTGGTTATTTTTGAATCATTTTGAAGAAAGAAATGATCAGCATGTATGGTCTTAACCTGTTGTTTCAGTTTGGATTTCAGCATAATGAAAGAAAAATAATCAGTGAATGGAATAGCTCAAGAATAAAGTAGCAATGAAAAACAAGAGTGATGGGAATGAGTAGAATGGTGCACGTTCTAAAATGATCTTAAAAGAGAAGTTGTTGGCTGGTGCCTTGGAAGGAAAGAGCAGACTTGCAAATGAAATCTCATAATAGGGTAACCAGTAGTAAGTCCATCATTGTACGTCCAAGGCAGATTTGCCAACCAATAGACTCGGATTAATTTCATGCATTCTTCACAAATAACGAATTCAGATTTCTGACAAGAATGACCTCCTTCTTCTGCTGGGTAAGATGATAAAAAAAGAGGGGACAATGACAAAAAGAAAAAAGAGGCTGTAGGCCCGGAAACTGAACCACGACTAGCTAGCTACTTTTTGGCCAGCTTCATCTGAATCTAGAGAACTGAGTAAACTATGGTTCACTTAACCATAGAAAAGGCAGTTGTGTAATTATAGTTAGAGGGGAAAAAATATAATCAGGACCCATCATACTGGCTTTAGCTTGCTCTATCTATCTATCTATCTATCTATCTATCTATCTATCTATCTATCTATTCTTAATTCTTAACCAGCCATGTCTCTTAGAGATCAATTGTTTTGTTCTGCTCATCTGTAAAGATGATTCCCAAGGAAATATTGTTTCTTTTTATTTTTCTTATACATATCCATCTCATGTATTCATAACTATGTTTATACTTATACCTGTTATCTTGTAAGTGATTGATAAATCAAATCAAATAAATAAATAAATAGAACTTCAATTATTCAAAGATTCTTTACCTTTGTCCTTATGAGTTGTACAGAGAGAAAAATTCTCTAATCTGTACAGTCAAATTTTGCAATTTTAGTAGTTCTCAAGGAACTCCTAGGTTCTAGGTTTTCTAGGTCTAGAATTTCGAGTCTGGTGGCATAAGGTATTCTGCAACGAGTGGAGGAATGGAGAACTCTTCTTGTTCTTTATTAATTATAAAGTAATAAAGGTAGGATTAAAAATCTAATAAACAAACTGATTTTCACATGTCAGATTGAATGCATCAGCTAAATCTCTCAATAAGGCAAACAGATCAGTGGTGGGATTCAATTTTTTTTTTACTACCGGTTCTGTAGGAATGGCTTGGTGGGTGTGGTGTGGCTTGGTAGGTGTGGTTTGGTGGGCATGACAGGGGATACTGCAAAATCTCCTGGGGGAAGATTACTGCAAAATCCCTATTCGCTCCCCACCCCACTAACCTGCTTTCCAGCTCCATTCTCCTGTGCAGGGCAACAAAAGAAGACCCAGCCAATCAGCTGGAACTCAGGAGGCAGAGAATAGATGGGGGTGGGGCCAGACAGAGGTGGTATTTGCTGGTTCTCCAAACTATTCAAATTTTCTGCTACTGGTTCTCTGTTTAAGTGCACACTTTAAAAAGAAACCCAACCCAGCCCAATTGCACTAAGCTTGCAAAATTGTCAGTGACAACTACGATTGTTTTCTGGAAAGTTTAAAGGAATCCCATGAGATGTATTTCTTTGTCATCCAATTCTCAAAATAGAGATCTATGTTACAGGAATTCCTGACTGTTTTTAAAAGGTCAGCCTTTTTTGCACATTCCTTTGGAAAAGAAAATTGGCCTCATAAAATTACAGTGGCTGGCTTGCTCTTTGCATAGCAATTCCCCCTTTAAAAAAAATCATACATATCCCTGGGAAAGTTGCAGATACTTTTTCCCATTCCTGAGGAAAAAACAGAATAAACTTTCCTCTCTCTCCCTCTTTGATGAATAATGCATCTTTTAGATAAAAGCTCTGCCGGTAAATAGTAAAGACTCCTTTGGACTAAAATTGAAAGCATCCATGTGATATTCCTGGCAAAAGTACAGAAATAGTTTTCCATTGCCTTAGTCCTTATTCTTTTTAAACATTCCATGTAGTTCATAGCCCTGGAACTTTCTATGGTGTGGGCCTAGAAACCAGGAAACAGTGATCCAAAGGTGCTTTTTCAAAAGGCATCTGGACTTTCTTGAAAACCTTTCGCTTCAGATCCAAGAAGCTTCTTCAGTTCTGACTCAGAAGCTTCTTGGATGAGAGGCAAAAAGTCTTCAAGCAAAAACAAAGGTCTTTATTTTGCACAATGATTTCAGTAGGAATTTCATAGAAAAGATGCTCTTAAATGGCAATCCTAGCCAGCTAATTAGATAGACAGACAGACAGACGGACGGACGGACAAACGGATAGATGGATGGATGGATGGACAGATAGAATAACTTTATTGTTGCTTTGAATGTACACTAATAGGCATACATTAAGATGAAATTTTGTTGCATAAAGCTCTCAAAGGGTCATCACTTCCAATATACAGTACATAAACATGATAAAATGAACAAATGAATACAAAATTAGGTATACGCCCACATGTATTATATGAGAAACTTTGGAAATGTACCTACTGAATGGTTCTCAGTTCATCTTCTCCAAACCTGTGGTCTCAGAACATCAAAGGCATCACTTCTCCTAATTCCCAGCCAGTGGTGAGAGCAGGGAGGCTGTATTTCGATAAAAGCATCAGCATGAACAGTTCCTTTGCTGTCAGATCTTTAAATACAGAAAATTAATTCTTTAAAACAAAAATAACATGGGATGCCCTTGGAAACAACTATAATGAAATCAGAGTTGTTAATCATCAGTTATGTTGGCATGAGGCCATTATGTGATGGCTAGTGAGGAGGCCTCTTTCTATTGTTCCTTTTAATGTATAGACAGTTTGAGAAAGATTCAAATTTAGCATCAAGTAGTAACGAACTTCAGTCTCCTGAGAAATTGGAAAGGAATCAGGCTTGGCTAAATGTGAAAAAATTTACTAGCGCTTGGTTAAAAGCTTTACAGCTGAATTAATGAGTAACCTGCACTTTAATGAGCGAGTTGTTGCTCTCCTACTGTGTTACAGTTTTTCTTTGGCTACTATAAAGGTCTCCATGCTGTTTTAACATAGCTACAGCTTGAACATGCCAGTGGCTTTAGGGCATCTCCTTCTACTTGTACTTGGAACAGTCTATCTTCAAAAAACAAGCTGTCCATCAATGGCTCTCCAACAAGGTATGGTTCCAATTGCATCTTTATTGCTAATCATTTTCAGAAGGTAAAAATAGTGATATTTCTATTGGGCCAAGTAAATATTATGTTTACTTATCTCAGTGACTTTATTTACCAGCTATTCTTTCTTATTTCTTCTGTAGCCAAGAGTAGGAAAAAGATAGGTGCTGGACTAGGACTGAGAAAGGAGGTTTTATAATCCCCATGAACCATGGAAGTGCACTGCATGATTTTGGGCCATGTACTCTTCTCAGCTCATCCTTTGCCAAAGGGTGGTTGTTGTGGAAGAACCAAAAAGGAGAAAAGGGTGCAACATATACTATCTTTTGCCTCTGGGAGAACAGTAGAATATACATCAACAAATAAAAGAATAGACTGTAGACCTTATATGATGAGTGGCAGTGACACATCACCTTAAAAATAACTTTGGGTATGGGTTTTTGTACATGAGATAATATTTCATTATGATTCTGGGAGTAGATCCTGAATGGACTATTATATGAAAATGTTAATTTTATATACAAAGATGCAAAAGGTTACCTCCAATTGTGTCCATCTGGAAAGCTCCTTGATTCTATCAGAGAATTTGGTGCATGGAAAACAAGATTTGGTTGATTACCTTTCCTTCAAAATCTGTTCAAAGGCTTGGAAGACATTGGACAATGTAGAATCACCTTCCTTCCCTTTTTATTCATAAATTCCTCTTTTGGAACAGACAGTTCTTAATTATGTGGACGTAACTGGACCTAAATTTGCAACCTGTTACTTTGCATTTTTATTACTCATGGATCAGTTTATTCTGAAGATTCAGGGAGACACCAAAACCTGATAGCTAAATACTCAATTAATATAAAATAAAATTTGTGATTATTTCATATGTTACCTTTAGTAGGCTTATCCACATGTTGATATCTCACTGCTATATGGCCTGAGCTTATAACATCTTGAACAGAATGTTAAATTTGTTAGTAAATATAAATATATCCATGTGGATAATAAAGACTTAATATTCAATATGATAATAAGTCTGATCTTTATGATTATTTTGTAGTTGGCATGCATAAAGTTAGTCTAACTGAATTTCAAATTAAGTCATTTGTGTTTAGAATTGAGCACATATAGATACTATTTAATTGCTTTTAATAGCATAGTTTAATTTGATCTACAGAATTCTACAAAATGAAAAAAATTCTTTCTATTTCTGTTATTTATCTGAATCTTTCCCATTGCATTAGAATAATATGATTAAAAATACACTTCATTAAATAATATGATTAGAAAAATTCAATAATTTGGGGACAATTTAAATTTAGACATGATCACTAAATAAAGTAGATGATTAGTACTAAGGGTTCCTGTTTTCTACATTGCCTCTTTTCTATGCTTTTTAGATTCAAGATGTGGGCATAAAGTCCTTGGAAGCGATTCGTGGGCCTTTTATAATCACTTTGCTCGGATTGTTGGTGGAAGTCAAGTACAACAAGGATCACATCCATGGCAGGTCAGTGTATTTCCTCCCACTCTTATCACACTAATAAGAAAAGTTAGGTTATCACATATCTTTGATTTTATTTTTGTATAGTTGCTTTTGCTAAACAGCACTTTGCAAGACCAATGGAGCAAATAATGAACAATGGCCATTCTTTTTTTTTGATCCCCAATACAACATTGTCATTAATTCTGTTGTCTGTATTATGAGAAACTGAGATAGGCATACTCTTTTGGAAAATCCAATTTTAATCTCATAGGTAATGCCAAACAAGAGAACAATGCATTTGCTCCCCCCTCCACAGTTTTTATTGGCCATCTGCGGTTACTTAAAGGAAAGACATTGTTCAGATATAATAAAAAAATGGGTTTTTTTTGTTGAAGATTTGTGATGGGAGTGTAACTTTTCTTTCAGTTTCCAACATTTTCCTCCCACAAAATGCACTTTGTCACTTCTAAGCTTCTGGCCACACCAAACAATGCAATATACTACATCCATTTTGATTGGCAGGTTTAGGCATTTTCACAAGCACAAATGATATGCTCTACTATAATCTGCCCCTTTGGATTTTTCCTCCCAAGTGCTGCTACTGCAACTATTTATACTGCACTATAAACCTGAGGAAGGGAATATGAAAAAAAAGATAGCTTCAGTCATTACAATGATATTAATCTCATATGAAGAAAACTATTTAGATATTGATAGTATTGGGCCAATTTTGAGAATAGCAATAGCAATAGCACTTATATACCAATTTATAGTGCTGTACAGTCCTCTCTAAGTGGTTTACAGAGTCAGCATATAGCCCCTAACAATCTGGGTCTTCATTTTACCCACCTCAGAAAGATGGAAGGCTGAGTCAACCTTGAGCCTGGTGAGATTTGAACTGCCAAATTGCAGTCAGCCGATAGTCAGCAGAAGTAGCCTGCAGTACTGCACTCTAGCCACTGCACCAGTGGTAAAGTCAATGGGTTGATGATGGCTATTAGCATTCAGTTCTGCTTCATATTATGCACAGGAGATATTGTTTTCATGAATTTATGACATTAATCTGACTTTTACTACATATTCACTGTACCCCACTGTGTATTCTGCCTTCTACTGTTCTTTCTGTTCTGAGATGTTCATTTCCTAAAGTAGTATGTGCTCTCTGTGATACAGGTTTCCTTGAAAAGAAGTAATCATCATTTCTGTGGAGGAACTCTTGTTTCCACTCAGTGGGTAATCACAGCAGCTCACTGTGTTGTAAGCAGGTACAAGCAGGCAATTCAATTGGAATATTTCAAGGTTTTTCTTTCTTTTTAATGCATTTACAGACATTTCTAAAATTCCATTTTCACTTTGTCATTATGAGTGCAGATTAATGAGGAAAAAAATGAATTTCAACAACTGTAGAATCAGGCTGCACCATAACAAAATGGACCAAAGTGAAGGGGGTCTGAATATTTTCTGAATGCACTGTAGATATAGATTAGAGGTCTCCAAACTTGGCAACTGTAAGACTTTAAGTCCACAAATCTTAAAGTTGCCAAGTTTGGGGACCCCTGATATAGATAGACAAAATCTCTGCCTAAAAGAGGATTCTTTACTTAATTAAGTTTTGAGAAACCCATCTTCAGTTTTTCCCAGTTATAACTCTCCACTGTTCTGTAGATCACTGCTGCATTTGCTGACCGTCACTGCTGGAGAACATGATTTGAGTCTAAAAGATGAGGAAGAGCAGACGCTCCCTGTCAAATACATAATTAAGCACCCCAAATTTAATAGGAGGAAACCAATGGATTATGATATTGCTCTTCTAAAAATGGATGGTCACTTCCAATATGGTAATATCCTAGTTTTAGATGATATGTCAACATATGTGTGATGAGCATGTGTGCCTATCTGAGCTATCGTATAAAAATGTGGTATTCAAAGGAAAATAATTTACTGTACAATCTAATACAAAGTCTAGGGACATAGTAAGTTGTGTCAGCAATCAGTACCAGAGGTGGTATTCAGCCAGTTCTGACAAGTTCTGGAGAACTGGTAGCAGAAATTTTGAGTAGTTTGGAGAACTGATAAATACCACCTCTGACTGGCCCCTCCCCCATCTATTCTCTGCCTCTTGAGTCCCAGCTGATTGGCTGGGTCTTCTTTTGTTGCCCTGCACAGGAGAATGGAGCTGAAAAGAAGGTTAGTGGGGTGGGAAGGGAATGGGGATTTTATAGTATCCTTCCCCTGCCACGCCCACCAAACCACACCATGCCCACCAAGCCACGCCCACAGAAACGGTAGTAAACAAATTTGATTGCCACCACTGATCAGTACCCTTACATAGCTTGATTCTCAGGAAGTCTCATGATTACGTTTCACTAGCACAGTATGTACACTCTGCTACCACCCACAGTGCAGCTATGAACAGAGCACTCTGTTAATTGCTTTCTGGATAAGGAAAGATGTGAGTGATTTAGAGGCAAAAGATTAAGTGTGGGTGATGAGAACATGCATCCTGAGGGGAAGGCAAGATTCTAGTTGTCCACCCAAAGGCTTGTGCCTGGCTTGTTTATCATTAGATGATCAAACAAAATCAGGCACTTTTACACAACTCCAATTGTGGATGGAAAGAAGACAACACATTTAAAACTTTGGGTGTACAGGTAGGAAACACAAAGACATTTAATAGTGGATTTTATTTTGATGTCCACTTTGGAACGGAATTGTATTTCCATTTCATAGTGTTAAATTAGATTTTATACTTTTGTAAATTATACTTTAACTTTTGTAGAAATTACTTTCTGTGCTGGGCCTCTTGATACCTATTAAGGTGTATGAAATTGTCATTGAGACATGAGCCACATTAACATTATTCATTCAAATGTGTAATCAGAACTTTGATCTGTTTTAATGTTAGGTGCAACAGTATGGCCAGTATGTCTTCCTGGCCCGCATGAAAAATTTGATCCAGGATATGTATGTGTCACTTGTGGTTGGGGTCGTTTAAGAGAAAGTAAGGAAATGATATGATATTTCAACATGTTTCATGCTTCAAAAGGAGTTATTATTCAATGTACATTTATGTATATGTGCTATCAGCTCTCTCTCTCTTCTCCTCCTTCCCCCTCATGGGAAGCCAAGGTGGGAGGCAAAAAATGAAAATGAATAATGTTAAAAATGAAAGTGGGGAGAAAGTGACAATAAATGCAGTTTTAAGTTTTAGGGAAGTGTGTTTTCTCTCTATGCCCAATACTATTTTCACTCCCAAAATAAAGTCAGCCTTGATTCTAGTGCATTCTAAGGCTAGATTTCCACAAATATAAGCAAATGTTAGATATTGCGGTAAAGAGAGATTCAGAAACATCTGCTTATTACTCTGTTGCTTAATTTATGAAAATGATTGCATAATAGTGTGTATCCCATGACGTTCAACCATGTGACATATTTCAACATGCAGTTCTCCTTTCATCTAGGGCTAGAAATCCTGTTTTCAATGGTGATCACGTTTAACAAACAGTTGGAAAACTGTTGGCTTCACATTGTAGTCTTTCACCATTTCAATTCATGATGTTTGAAAGTTTTGTGGAGGGAAAAATGGCACAATACACATTAAGTACTTTGAGGGCTAGTGGTCCAGTCCCTGGAACTCCAGATTAAAAAGGGATCAGGCAGTAAACAAAGATCTTTGCTTGAGACCCCTAACATCTATTTCTAGGTAGAATGAACAATCTGGACCTTGAGGGAATATGACAATATGACAACTTGCTATGCAACTGCTAAGCAACTTCCTGAAGTTTGTTTGTTTGTTTGTTTTTTGGTTTTCAGATGGGATTCTCCCTGACGTTCTGCATGAAGTCAGATTGCCTATCTTAGACCAGACACAATGTTCTGGAATCTTGTCAACTCTAAGGAGGCCTATTCAAAGTCACACTATAATGTGTGCTGGATTTCCAGATGGAGGAAAAGATGCTTGCCAGGTTGGTAGGTTATATCAGTAGGTTTATTAAGGAGAATGTGATGATGATGATGATGATGATGATGATGATGGTGATGATGATGATGATATTGGTAGTAATGGTAATGTTGTGGATGATGATGATACACAATATGGTAGTAAAATACCATTGTAGTTTTAGGTCCATTTTGTGACTTTTAGAAAAATTCCAAAAGAAACTATTAGGAGGAAAGGCCGTGGCTTATTAATAATAGATTTCAAGTTCATTTCCAGGTGGAAATTCAGAGCAAGGCTGCTTGATCATTAGCCACCAAAGAACCATTGCTTCAAAATAAGTAGAGTCAGCCCTGAGCTTTTAATGGTGCTTTTATTAGGGCGTTGAAAAATTGGCAAGAAATGTGAATAAAAATAATCTATTTTAGTTTTTGCAAGTAGACAGTCATTCTAGTGTTTCAAAGTGGGCATGAGAATAATTCTTCAGTAACTTAGGATCCAATTCTTCTTTAATCCACAGTCCTGCAATTTTTAATGCAAACTTAGTGGAGGCATCAAAAACCCATCCATTCATTGATAAAGACCAACCAATTATATTTTCTCAACTGGATCTCAAATGGGTTCCTCTCCCCTTCACTTTTCGGTGAAGTCTTTCATACATTAAGTCCTGCCCTAATTTATTCTCTAGGTAACATTGCCTCTTTATTAGGTGACAGGGCTGGAATGAGCTGCCCCACCAGTTTGCAAAAAGGAGTATGCTTAAGATCCAATAAGTAAAGAACTGCATGTAATGTTTCAGATGTGTCTCCTTTTGGGGAAAAAAAAATGTTTCTCCTGCAGGGGGATTCTGGAGGTTCACTTGTGTGCCAACGTGAACATGGCCCTTGGACCCTGATTGGAGTGACTTCATGGGGCATAGGATGTGCTCGAAGCTGGATTCATAATCTGCAAAAGAAGTATGCGAAAAGAGGAACTCCGGGAGTCTTTACGGATCTGACCAAGGTGCTCCCTTGGATTCAGCAGCATATAGATACCGGTAGTAACAAAATATCACCAATACTGTGATTTAGCTCATTATTAACCTCAATTAGCGTCTTATTGATAATAGTATTTGACCTGATTAGAATTTATGACTTGAATTCAGAATAGAAACTTGCTCCCCTTCCAAAAGTATCCCCTCTCCCACCCATGCAAACAAAACACCCATGTTTAGCCAATTTTTAATATCTGTCTTTTGAGGGAATCTTTCTCAT